GCCACACTCCAGCACACAAAGCTGCTGCTGCTGCTGCTGCTGCTGCTTTTAATGGCTTAGCCTGAGGGCTTTGCTGCTCTTCCTTTGCTCTGCTAATGGGAAGGACTGGGAGACCTCTTTGAACTAGCTACACATACCAAAGACTGAATAAACAAGTATTCTTCATCCCATTTCTCTTAAGAGTTTGTCCTGACAGATGTCTTCTCCCTCCTGAGGTGTGGATTATAGTTTGTGTTTCCCTTTTTTTCCCCCTTTAGCCCTTGAAGCATTTCACACCCTGCTGGGCAAATGCCCAGAAGTAATCAGACTGACTGAACACGGGGAAACGCAGACAAAAGAAAAGGCTGGAAGCTACTGTTCTTCTCCCAGCTGGCACCGCCAGCTCCTGAGGGCTCAGCCACCACAGCCCACGTTTGTGACAGTACCTGTACGCTCTGGGTGTGTGCAGCCCTTGCGTCCTGCGGCAGCCTGGAGCTGCAGGCTCAGATATCCACCGCGAGCTCCTGGATCCTCCAGGACAAAGCCAGCTCTCCCTGCTGCTCCCGTGTTGCGCTGCCTGTGGAGCAGCGAGGGAAGGAGAGGCACGCAGGTTAGCACAGTGGCAGTGCACGAGCTGCCAGGCGTCACCCATCTGACCCGCACCAAAGAGGAAATCTTAATTTTCAGAACTTCCCATCATGCCACACAAGACACTGAAGCCGTCCAAATCTGGAAGGGATAGCCTGGCATGATGCCCCCCCAGGTCATATCTTACATCAAGAGTTCTTTTTCTCCTGCACAAGGCTCTATATCCTACTTGGACAGATATACAAATATCTATAGAAACTACAGATATTCAATAAGCCATCTTAAATCATAACAGCCAGGCCTCTGTACGACCGTGCTTAACTCCTGCTCAGCTCACGCCATCTCCCCGTTCCTCAGGCATCAGAAACCACTGAAACTCCCGTGTTTTCCTGGGGGCTGCCTGCCTGCAGCTGCCCTCCTCTCACCAACGGGGCCACCTGCCAGGCTCCCCAGGGCACAGCAGCCTCCAAGGGGAGCATTCGTCTGTTTGAGAGGTGATGGAAAGCCTGGGGAAAAAAAAAGCTCAGCGACACTGTGGCTCTGAAGGTGCAAGAATCATTACCCTGGAGACGTGCAGCTCACCTGGTTCATGCTGAGCACGCTCTCTGCTCGCTTCACCTGAGCGTTCAGCTGGAGAGATCCATTTCCACGCGCTGGGCTGGGTCCGTCTCCGTCCCTGCTGCGAGAAGGTGTTCGGGGGGGTGCCGCTGCCCGCTCAGCAGACGCTTCACACACTCTGCCAGCAGCAGGGGCAGCCTTTGAGGCCACACCAGCCTGGCACAGAGTCACTGAGCCATTCTGACTGTGTTAACAGCACCACGGATGAATCCCCATACCCTCGGGCCTTCATTCTCCGGCACCCCGAGCCCCGCGGCTGCGCGGCAAAGAAGGAAAGCGGGCACCGGAAGAGAGGAGCGAGAGCAGGGCATGACAAAGGGCGGCGAGGGAGGGCGGGCTGTGCAGGAAAGCGGGACGGGAAGGGAAAGCCCGGGAGGGGGGGTAGAGGGAGGGTGGACAGAGGAGGCAGAAACGGGGAAGAGAAAGGGAGTAGCGGGGAAGGGGCTGGACAGGAAGGAGCCGGGCTTGTGGGGGGAGAGGGAATGGGGGAAAGGGAGCGAGAGAAGGCGAATACGGGGAGAAGGAAGGAGGGCGAGAGAGAGGGACAGGCGGGGAAGCCTCACAGAGCCCCGGCTGCACCCCGAGCCCGGGCCGGCGCCTCGCCCTGCCCGGGAGGCTGCGCTCGGGGGAGCTGGGCTCGCTCCGGAGTCACTCGGCTCCAGTCGGCTCTTCGGCTAAACTCGGCTATTGTCGGCTAAACTCGGCTATTGGCGGCCGCATTCGGCTGCATTCGTCCCTTCGGCGCGCTTCGGCCCAACTCGGAGCCGCTCTCTGCGCGTTCGGCTGAGCTCGGCTCGGCTCGCCTCCCCCGACGGCGGGCAAGCGGCGCCGCCTCACGTTAAACTCGCCCGACTCGGGGCGCTCCTGCTGCCGCGTCCCGCGGGCGGCCCGGCCATCGCACCGACACGACCGGGAGCGCGGGGTGGCACAGGAGCTCATTGGGCTGTGACCGCACTCGCGCTAATTAGCGCGCACGAGAGCGGCGGGCTCGGTTCGGCCGAGCTCGGCTCCGTTCAGGCAGCCTCGCAAGCCTGGCCTCGGTTCGCTCGAGCCCGTCAGGTTCGGCCGGTCTCGCCTTGGTTCGGCTGAGCTCGTTCCATTCGGCCCAAGGCGGCGTCGTTCAGTCGTGTTCTTATAAATACCTTTCTTTATTGACTGTATATTTCTATATTTAGATTTATACTTCCATAATACTTCTATGATTCCAAATAAAACCCCCGTCTCTAACCAAATAAACACAAAAAAAGCCTTCTTTTGAACGATATTGAAATATTTTTATACTTTTGTATAATTATATTCACATTTATATTTATAGTTTCTTTTGATGCATTATATTCATAATTATATATAATAGATACAAAATTCTAGGAAAGTATTTACTAATTTTTTCTTATAGGTTTAAATTTTATATATATCTGTATATATTTCTATTTCTATACTTAGATTTCTCCCTTTATATTATTTGTAGCTATAATTTTTACAATCAAAACACTGCCTATTGACAAATGAAAAAACCCACTTTGTTTAACTATATTAAAAAATATTTTCATGCTTATAATTGTCATATTTATATTTATAATTGGTTCAGTATTACATGAGAACATACCTGCTCCTGCACTGCAGCGGGGCTCCCTCTCCTGGGGTCCTTGGGGTGCCCCAATGGCATCAGAGCCCCGAGTCTTCATCCCCTTCTCCTCTATTTAGAAACTACACTGGAACTTTTTTCTGGAAACAAAGACATTACCTAAATCCTCTCTCCGTGTCCCAGACAGATGCATATTCAGTTATTAGTTGGCTGGGCAGCAGTTTCTTAAATAGAATGATAAACAAGATGTGAACATTTTAGCTACAAGCAAATAGGCAAATCTGAACAAGGTACTGGTGGCCAACACCAACCACCAAAGTGATTTTGAAGCCATTTTTTAAACAATAAAATAATGATACCACAAAAATTAAGCAAAAAGCTAACTACTGGCTAAGAAAGAAGGAAAAATTAACTTTTGACAGCAACAACGTTCCAACCACACAGGCTTTTTCCCCATGTCATACCTTGTAACTACGTCTCTTGGCAATTCTCATCATGTATCCCAAAAGGAATAAATACCTCAGAGCGTCCTAAAGCAAAAAGCAGCACACGTGAGCCCCTCACACTCCCGGGAGGCCGGCACAGCGTGCACTGAGTCTGCAACAAATTCTGCTCACTGAGGGTCTGCAAACAAAGGTTCAACTGATGAACTGACCTGATTTTAAAGAGAGGTTTTCTAAGCGCTGAAGCACAAAAAAGAACAAGCAGAAACAATTCTTAAAAAAAAACCTGCAAGTTTCGTTTAGCATATATGCGACTGATTTCCACCCTGTGGCTTCTCACTGTGATTCGTCTGCAGGTTCAGGAAGATGACAATGCACACTCTGCCTTCCCTGAGCCCCCCACGGCAGCGGAGCGCTGCTCCGTGCGCTCAGATCATCGGGAACTGGATTACACGTGCCCGGATGGACCGGAACTGCTCTGCTGCAGATTCAGGAGACGATGGCAGAGAGGGGCTGGCCGAGGCGTCGTCCCAATTCCGTTCCTGTGTGACGAGGAGCGGTTTGTTCCCAGCAGCTGCAACAATCCCCAGCTCGCTTCCGTGGTGAGTGCCGATGGCACACAAATGGCAGCCCGAGGAAATCGTGTTCTGGGCTCTAAGTGGTTGGGACAGGGTCCGATTTTTTGTTTTGTATCTGTATGATGATTAGTACGACAGGGCCCTGATCGATGACGTGGCAGCACAGAATTAAAAGCTCCTCAATAGGATTACATCGGCTTCGAGGAAAAGACAAAAGCCTAGGACCATTCTGAAATCTACTTTTAATCCCGAGCACACGGATTGTCACCATGCTGCACCTTCCAGCTTTTCAAAGCAGCTTACTTCTGAAGACCAGGAAACACTGATTTCTACAGAAACAATGGGCAACCCCCAGGCTAATCTCAGCACTACTGTTTAATAGGGGACCTGCCAGCGTGCCAGTCCAGCCTCAAGTGTGCTTTACTTCAGTCTAACATCCCCACAAAATTCTTCTCACGTCTCCCAACCCTGAAATCTTATTTTCCCCTAAAGCTTCTCATCATTAGCAATTTCCAAGTAACATGTTTTTTTTACAGCATTCAAAAATGTCATGCTGGACTGTGCTAGAGAGTAATCTGCAAATATAAGCTTAGCAAAGTTTGAATTGACTTGTCCAGAGAAAAAACCTACAAGCGAACACCTACACCTGCCTAAAAAGAGCTAACAAGCCCCTGGCAGCTGCCAGCATCAAAGCACAGTGGATGTTTCTAACACAGGGTAAGGATAACAATATCACCTTTTGTTCTCTCCAGCTTGTTTTCCCTGCAGTCATATTTCGCTTCTTATGATTTTTTTAGTCTCCGTATCTTCGTGGACAGCACCGAGCCTGAAGACAAGGATACGAGAGTCTTTCCCTGCCGTACGGAGAGAACCAGGAAAACAGTTAAAAAGAGAACAGGGTAGTTTGAAATTCATACTTGCAATGAGAAGCAGCGCCTAACCAACAGAACAAAAGTAAACAAAGCATGGCAGCTCCCTGGGGACAGAAGACTTACAAACTCTCCAGAATTTACAATTCTAGCGACCATCTCCTTTAGGACAGCAGCCAAGTGTCCCATGAGGTGGCGCTACACCAAAGAACAATCTGAGAGGTTCCAAAGAGCGAAATGCACAATATTTTGCAAAGACATAAAATCTTGCAAAACAACAAAAATACAATGGATGTAAACTACAGGGCAAGAGTACAAGTGTTCACTTTAAGAGCTGGAACCATCCAGGTGAGCACCTGATAACTGGATCCTCAGCAGAGTTTGAGCCCTTCAGGACACAGAAGGGGTTTCCCCAGAAATTTCACAGACTGAGTTTTGATAGAAGTACAGTTGCCACATCCTCAGAAACGTCACCCATTCTCCAGGTGTGTGGAGAGAACTGCAAATGGCTCTCACGTAGTTTGAGCTAGTTCTGTAAGGTCTCGGGGTGAATTTCACCAGATGCAACCAAACAGGGCAACTCCCAGTGGGACAGAAGGAACCCAAAGCTTGGGTAAGCAGAGCTGCAGCAAATACTGAGGAAACAAACATAACAGTGTAAAAAATAATAAACCATCCTTTTTTTTTCTCTTGCTTTTGTTTTTTTCTTATTCAGATCAGAATAGCAATTAAAGAGAAAGTGAAAAACTCACCATTACTGAACATTTCATCATCTGTAGGCTGAGCATCCTTAGCATAGAGGACTCCAAAGTTAAAATTCACCGATCCCTGCAAAATAAAACCAAATATTGTATGATAAACAGTCAGACAGCAAACATAAAAATTTGTTTCCTCTAAGGACTTTCAGGTATGTATGTATCTTTGCATACATCCTACACATTAGAACATACACTTTATACCATCACCTAATACATAATCATTTACCTTTAAATTTTGATAGTATAGCATGAATTTTTAACTTAAATTGGTGATCTATTATTATTAAGTTGGTGCTTAAAGTTATTTCTGCTGTCACGTTCAAAAAAACATTAATTTTTTTTACTGTAATGACCAATTGATTTCAAAGTCATCACAAGCCCATCAAAATACAAAGCTCTGTTCACTGGACGGGTCTGTGAGCTAGAAGTAGTTAGGCTTCTACTTCCCTCTTGTTCTTCCAGAGCCAAGAAATCCTGTCAACAAAACCAGGATCTTTAGCCCACTGCTGTGAAAGATTCTACAAGGATGATGGTTTGATTTGTGTTCAGAAGTTTTGATTTGAAATGGCCAGTTCAATGGATAAAGACAGTTTAAGTAGTATTACATTACTGTTATTATTATTTCTATTATTATTTTTACTATTACTACTACTATTATTATCACCTGTTACTGGAAGAAACAGACCAGTAGTACCTATACTTAATTACTTTTATTTCCAGAAAATAATAAAGAAAAAAGAACCAAACCAAAAAAAGTCACTTCCTACCTTTTCTATCAAGGGATGAAAAATTTCTCTTGGGCTCTCCTCCAATTTACTGTTAAATGGAATGTTCTGTGGAACTGCCATTTCTTTCCCAAAATACTAACTTCCAACACTTCCTGAACGTATTTTGTATTTTAAAACAACAGAAGTTAGTGAGACTCTGTGGAGGTCAGGTTTAAATTTCTTTCCTTCTAAAGCACAGAGTTCTGTTCCATCACCCCGCCCTTTGGCTCTACACTGAATCATGGTGAGCATTTGAGGAGTGCTCAATAACCAATTCTATTTCTCTCTTTTTCTAGTTCTCTCTATTCTTAAATAATTCAAATGAAAAATGACAAGTCAAATGAAAAAGTTCAGCCTCAAAGTCACACTTTTTCCCTTTGTCTGGTCAAGAACAGGCTCTATGCTGCCTTCAACGATTAAGACTTGCAAAACCGGTTTTACAGGTTTATCATAAAACCCACAGAAGGCAAGCTCTGAATAACAGGAAAAGGTACACAGGCAAATATCTAAAGGGATCACTTCTTTGGAAATACATACCTTGATAGAGATCGCACTGAGAACCTTTCTGTGGGACTCTAAGGGAGACGTATTTTCCGAGTACCCTGTAAACAAGAAAAGCTACAATATATTACAGGACACCCCCACTTTTTCTACACATTCAAATAGGATTTTTAATAAAAACAATTCAGTTAAAAAAGAAGGAACAAAACCAAGCTAATTTTACTCAGCTATATTTACTCCCGATTTAGAGGGGAAAAAAAAAAAACTCACAGGTGCTCGCCGTGCTCGCCCGGGGCGGCTCCCGCACAGCCCCGCGCGCCCGCCTGGCCCGCCAGCCAGTCATGTGCCGCGTCAGCCGTTGCGTCACGCGCCGCGCCGGCAGCAGGGCCTGCCGGGAGTTGTAGTCTCGGGATGACAGCCACGGCTCCGTCCCCCAGCGCCGGGACCTGCAGTCCCTCCCGGGCATCAAACGGGACCTTCACCCCTGGGCGGGGAAGGACCTGAGGCACCACCGCTCCTCCCGAATGCCCTCTCTTTTTCCCTCCAACCCTTTTTTCTTTTTTCACTCTGTTTTTCACCCCTTCCCTTCCCTCTTGCTCTCCCGCTTCCTTTCCTTTCCTTTCCCTTCCCTTTCCCTTTCTTGTATTTCTGATCTTGGTTTACCTTTCTAGCTTTAGAATAAAAAAACAGCAGTAGAAACTATCAGGCTACCTGGGAGTAAAAAAAAAAAACAACTCCAAAACGAAAAGGATTTAAAGAAAACTATTTATTCCCTGGGAGCCTGAAATTTTCTACTGCTGCACGTGACATAGAGCTTTTATTCCTTCTTATAGAGAGTTGATATTTTCTACTTACTTTATACAGCGCCCCCTGCCGTCTGTCCCGAAGCACTGCAGGCACAGCGATCCCTGCCGTCTGCACAGGCGCACTGCAGGCACAGCGATCCCTGGCGTCTGCACAGGCGCACTGCAGGCACAGCGCCCCCTGCCGTCTGCCTCGGAGCACTGCAGGCACAGCGATCCCTGCCGCCTGCACAGGCGCACTGCAGGCACAGCGCTGCGGCGTTGTTCGGTTCTGTTGAATGAAACTCGGCTGAATTCGGCTTGGTTCGGCTCTTGGTCTAAAGTCGTTTCAGTTCGGCTCTTCGGCCGAACTCGGCACGGTTCGACTAAACTCGGTCATATTGGGCACATTGTCTAAATGCGGCCAGTGTCGGCTACACTCGGCTATCGGTTCCAGTCGGCTATCATGGTCTCTTGGTGTAAACTGGGCGATTTTGGGCCGCCCTGGGCTCTTCGGTTCAAGTCGGCTGTTTTCGGCCACCCTCGGCTCTTCGGGTCAACTCGGCTATTTCCGGCTTCCCTCGGCCCTTCGGGTCAACTCGGCTGTTTTCGGCCACCCTCGGCTCTTCGGCTCTTCGGAACAATTCGGCCCGGCTCGGCTCCCTCAGGGCGCGAAAGCGGCCGTCAGAGGACCCCGGCACAGCGAGGCGTTTACCCCAGATGCCTGGCACAAACCCGCCAAACTACCCCGCCCGCGGCGCCGCTGAGCCCACAGCATGTGTCGGGTACACATGAAACGCCACAGAAAAATCCGTCGGAGCCGCCATGACGTCAGTATTCTGTGCAGGCAGTCCACTTACACCCACCCTGGTCCTCCACTTCCCCGCCCTTTTCGCCGCCATGCTGAGAAGGTCAATTAAAAGTCCGCGACACCCGTGACGCGCCACTCCCAAGGTGGCGGCCTCTCGGTGCAGGGCTGCAGTACCGCGCTCTGCCCACAAGGCGGCAGCACTGCCGCACGCCCCAGCCGGGGGCGCAGCGCGCCTCGGGGCTGCGGGCAGGGAAGGCGGCGAAAAAGAACAGGGGCGGCCCCCGCCGAAAACTGCTCTGAAATAAATGCCCCAAAACAACGGGGAAGAGGAAAAATAAACTTCTGCCTCTAATCTAATAGGATAAAAGACAAAACAAAACACAACACACAAAAAAAAACCCCAAAAACCCAACAATGTCTTTTAAAAAATATTTAAATATTTTTTAAAAAGTTTTTTCCTATTAATATTCACATTTCTATTTACAATGTATATTGATGTACACTGTCCATTTATACATTTCTTTTTATAAATACATTTCTATTCCATATTGCATATATCCCTAAAACTTAAATTTATTTGTATATTTTTATACATATTTTTACATAGTAAGTATATATTTCTGTTACGATTTTTACTTCTGTAACACTTGCATTATTTAAAATAAAACCTTTGCCTCCATCCACATTAAAGCCAAAAAGAAGCCCTTTCTTCTCAACGGTATTCAAATATTTTTTAAAATTCTAGTTTTCAGGTTCATATTCATATTTACATTTAAAATGTACACTTATGTATACTGTTATTTGTATTCTTCATTACATCTCTTCCTATTATTGGTATTTCTTTATATTTTGTGTTTTTATATATATATTTATATCTCGATTGTATATCTCCATATTTAGAAATAAATAACAATAATATCTACATTCATATTATTTAAAATAAAAACCCTGCCTCTAACACAATAGGAATAAAAAAAACCCCAACCCTTTGTTGTAAACAATATTTAAATAGACTTTATCCTAAAGTTCAATTTTTATATTCATATTTGTATTTATAAGGTATATTAATGTCTATTGCTTACTTATACATTTATCTTTACCAATGTCAAGTTAAAAATAAATTTATATTCTATATTACATCTGATGCGAGTAGTTATTTATGAATTTTTATATATTTTTATTCATATTTTTTATATTGATTAAATATTTCTGCCTCAAGATTTTTACTTCTGGAACACTTATAATATTCAAAATAAAACCCCTGCCTCTACTTAAATAAAAGCCAAAACATTCCCTTTCTTTTAAGCTATATTTACATATTTTTATATTTATATTCCCATTTATAATTTATATTGCCGTATAATGTTATTTACATTCTACACTACAACTCTTCATATTACTTACATATATTTATATATAAATTTATATTCATATTTTAGCAATTTCTCCTTATATATTTATTACATATTTCTATCTTAAGATCCACATTTCTATATTACTTATATTATTTAAAATAAAACTCCTGCCTCTAACCAAATGAAAAGCAAGGACGCCCCTTTATTTGAACCAGATTTAAAAATGTAGGAAGTAAATTTATTTTTCAAAATTAAAATGATATTCATATGGATATTTTAATTTATTTTATTCATAGATATTATATATATTAGAGAGAATACCTTCTAATATAATAAGAGATCTGTATTTTCTGTATTATAGATTTCTTTTACTTATATTTATTTAAATTAAATATTTATAGAGATTTGTATTTGTATATATATTTGTATATCTGAATTGATATTTTATTTCTATCACTTATTTAAAAACCCCAGCCTATAACCTAATAAAACCCCCCCATTTATTTTAACTCCATTTAAATATTTTCATATTAACTATCTATATTTATGTATCTTTGTGTATATATATATATATAATAGACTATCATTTATCTATATGATGTTACAATTATATACCATGTATTACAGTTTTATGTATGTATCTGTTATCTATATTTATGTTTACCACTCTAATGTTATATTCATTTTTAAATGTATATTTATTTCTATTTTCATCTCTATATTAAACCATACAAGTTCATTAACCCCACGCACCAGAACCACAACAATACCGTACCTTTGTCAGCACCGGCACGCAGCACATGCTCGTCCCATCGCAGCGCATCAAAACAAAACCCACTGCTATTACTAACGGAACAAACGTCCCACAACGTCATTGAACCCTAATAAAAACTCAAATAAACCTAACTGTCAATAAATTTTAAATCCCACTATAAAGTAGCCCAAAACCTCCGCACATTCTCATCATAAACTTCCTCCTAAACCACTATCTCAAAAACCCCAAAAAACTCAAATACACCTTGAAAATGACACAACTGCTAATAAAAACAAACACCCAGTAAAAATTAAATCAAACCAACTCACGAGACTCAAAACTGTACAACTGACCCTAAACATTACTAAAAAAAGTCCCCAAAGCTCTACCTTTATGCTAATGCACAAATAATAACCTATCATCTAGAAAAGTTATTTGAAAAAATTAAAAAAAAATAATTAAAACCATGAAAATCAAAAACCTAAACTATTAAAATACTAAAAAACATCACTACCTAAATTAAAAAACGTATTGCCTAAAAAAACCCACCATATAAATACCCCTGTCCCAAAAAATAAAAAAAACTATCGAACCAGAAAGAAATCAGAACTTAGGAACACTAAAACCATAGCGTTCAAGAAGTCACACCACATCCCTTATCATACACCAACTACAAACAACAGAAAACAATACAATGAATTCTTAAAAACCACCTTAAAACCACTACATTGAAAAACCTTTCCAAAATTAAAAACTGCATTTAACAAAAGCCATCTCATAAATTCACACCCAAAACTCCAGCAGCCCAGCTGGCCCTACTAAAGCTCTATGTTTATACAGACA